ATATTGTTCTTCCACCACTAGCTATGAAACCTACCATCATTTGCTGCTTTCCGAGGCGTAAATAAGGTGTGTTTTCACTACCAAAGTAGTTTTCGTCATTATAATTGTTTGAAAGTAATATCTGAATCATCTCTCCACTATTTCATTCAGTTCATATATTCTGACAACTGTCTAATATGCATTAATAATATATGCATGTTACTATGATAACGAACTATACTAGAACATACTGGTGTGCACAAATATATATTATCAATCATCTTCCCCCTTACAAGACTATCCAGATCATTGACATTGTAAATTGAGATGACTGAATAAGTTTGAGTAGAAGATATGTATCAGATCCTAACTCATTAGGTTTGGATCCTACCGACTGCGCTATGTTTGAGAGTAATATCTAAATCAGCTCTTGACTATTTTATTTATTCCATATATTCTGACAACTGTCTAATTTGCATTAATAATATGTTCATGTTACTATGATAACGAACTATACTAGAACATACTGGTATGCACAAATACATATTATCAATCAATAATGAACCTGAATTCATGGCTCTGATGCGAAATTCATAGAAATGGCAATCGAATATAGTAGGTATTCATCAATAACGACTTATGCTGTCATGGTCATGGCTACTAGATTCATTAGTAGTGTAAAGAAGTGCTTCCATAGTGACAATATTCATATTTCAGTTCCACAGAACAAAAATGATTTGAATGTACTGCTGTATTGTTGAAAAAATATAATATACACCATAATATACACCTTGGTAGTAAAGAATATTATACATACACATAATGTACACATAATGAATACAAGATCTTAATGAGAAAATGTTGAAGTGTAATTCGCTATCTTTCCTTCCCAAGAGGACCCTTGATTCTTTTGTGCCTAAGGCCCTCTGTATAGTTTGACACGGATTGGTCATAGCCTCCTTCTCAAGAATATTGATTTATTGGAACATTTCCGGATGATATTCCAGTGTACTAGCATGTTCTTCCACCTAATATATATACCTGAATCTATTCTTGATCCGCTTCAATATCATCCAAGCAAACATTTTTATTTTTCATTCCGAGTGAATAATATCGTACATCATATCATAGTTACATTTCGGCAGAGTTTAACCTTGAAAAGCACACTTTTATGAAACGATATCGTACATATATAACATCTCAATTTCATTATGAAAAACCGGGCGCTTTCATGGCCTTGCTACACTTCACTACTCTTCTTGTGGTTATTCTTTTACATTTCAGTTCTATATTCCACGTATATTCGAGCAATACTTTCGAATGAAATACTTCAACTTCCCGAATCCAATTTGTAGAGAGCCACATGAATACAATTTCAGTTGGAAAATATTCCGTTGGTATTGATAACACTGGATTACAATAAATACCACAGCATTTTTTCAAAGCTTGGTGTGCATGAAAAGAAATCCCTATGATGAACAGTTTCCTTGATAAATGCACAATGCCCGACTAATGGAAATCATCAAAAGTGTGTTCGATATAGAAAGAAGGGGATAATTTTGAGATCGGTAACTTCACACTCATATCCATAATTTGCCATTTTGCCAAAGTTTTTGTTATCCGTTTATATGTTACACTAGCATTTGAGCAGTCAAATCACACCACTTCAGCATGGTTTAATAAAAGGTCGTTTCACAATCACCAACCTTTTCAATATCAATTAATATATTTCTGAAAGCATTAACAGACGATTGCAGGTTGATCTTATATATACGTACTTCTCAAAGGCACTCGACAGACTTGGATCATGGACTCTTATTATCGAAACTATACTGTTGTGGATTTTTCTCGGCACTTTGTTTCATAATTAACTGATAGCCGTAAATTCGTTATGTTTAATGGTTTGAAGTCTATCGAATATACAGCAACCCCAGGTGCCCCTCAAAGTAGCAACCTAGGTCCACTACTTTTCAATACCTTTATCAATAACATAATTGACGTAATTGATGCCAATTGTTTGATGTATGCGGACGATTTGAAGATATATTGTCAGATAAATGATATTGGGGATTATAAACGGCTATCTCTCAATCTGAGACACGTTGAATAATGGTGTTGCAGTATCAAATTACCTTCTAATGCTAGCAGATGTAAAATAATGACATATACACTCGAAGGTCTTTTTTCTTCGTATGATATGAGTGATACAATTATTTAACGGCCTTTGATACAAAATTTTCATTCACGACACATATTGAAGCTACTTCATCTGCTGCGAACAGGATGTATGGATTCATAGCGCGGATCTCTGGAGATTTTTTGATTCAGATACATCAAAAACATTATATTACGCCTTTGTCACATCAAAAACTGGAATATGCATCTCTAATTTGGAATCCATCTCATCATCCATCTCTCTGTATATAGAGAAAGTTGAATCAGTACAACAGCGTTTTCTTGTACTTCTTTCCTATAGATCTGATAATGTATATCCACCAATCGATTTTCCTCATACATTATTAGCTAGACATGCTATGAAAAGCCTTAGATGCCGTCGTGTTTGTCAATCCACAGTGTCAAGTAATTAATAACATTATCGTCGACTCATACATTTTTCAGAAGCTTAATGTCACTGTTCAATACATTTTGTCTTCCGAATACACGAACAAATATTCTGAAATATTCTCCGATTTATAACATGTTTTTGTATACAATAATTCGTCAAATAATCAGCTAGAAATCTTTCATTGCTCTATCTCTGCGATTGAATCTTTTTATCTCAGCTTCTTGCCCATGCCTATGGAAATCTGTATCATAGTAGTAATACTTATTCTCCTTTTCCGTAGTTAGGTTGAACCTGTAGAACAGTGTAACAATGAATAAATTAATAAATAATTGATAAAAACATATTCAATCGACACTACAGCATTTTTTTAAACCTTTCACTATATTATACCGCCAACCCTCCATTTCATTTCTCAGAGCAATCAATCCATCTTGACTTCCTTCAAGCAGTATATTTCCTCCCCCTCCTCCTAACCCCCTAACTATTCAAAGCCCCACCTCCCTCATTTTCGCTCGTAAATCTTGTTCCTAGAGACGAGGAGCTATAAGATGAATGTTCTTGCACCACACATTCGCTGTTTGATCGTCTGATGCTGCTTTATGGAGGGATTAGCTTGAACTTTGGTGTAATAGGGTCTACCGGATAAACATTAGTTGTTCGGAGTCATAATATTTTGGATATATTATGAGAAAGTCTAATTCATACCTCATTTTTTTCTCGCAACTTCATAAGAACTCTTAGTGGAGATCTAAGAAAATCATTCGAACAATGAGATAGAATATGCATTTACTTGAATTCTATCTCATTTTATCAAAATCATATATTTTGTAAACGTCGAGAAATTGCTGAAGTATTATTATGTGAGTAGAAAATAAACAGATACAAATAAATGGTATTTTTTTTAGAGGTTTGTTTTTTTAATTACTATTACTGTGTCTGGTGATCATCAATTTGACAGCTGATAGTTGATTATATTTCGCCATTTCACCATGAAGAAAGTTACAGAACAACGCTTACAAATTGTGCATATTCACTTGAAAATCAAGGTACAGTTTCTCATTTTCTACACAAGACTTTGATCAGCGAAGAGGCTCATTTTTGTTGAATAGCTGAGTCAACAAACGAAATTGCTGAATCTGGAGTGTTGGAAATCCAGAAGCTATTATTGAGACGTCTTTACACCCACAAAAGATAACTGATTATGATTCATGTGCTGGTGGTAACATTGGCTTTTAGCCAGAACTAAATGGTCAATGAACATATTTTTTCTGATAAAGGACCTCTGATTTGGTCCCCAAGATCGTGTGATATCACGCCATGGATTATTTTTTGTAGGGATATGTCAACTCCACAATATTTGGACCGATTAGAGGCCAAAATCATCAGCGTTTTTGCCGATTTACGGCCTCAACTTGTTCAGTTGACTCTTGTAGTTCATTTTTGAAACCAAAAAGTCATCCAAAAACTTGCAGAATATCTTCTAAAACGAAGATGCATCCAGCTTTCTGATCAATATCTATATAGGAGATTGAGTTGAAATGAGTAAGTAACTTCAAGAACACCGTCTTCAATCGAGGTTACGTAACGGGCAAGGTGAACCTCGCAGTAATCTCACGAGTGGCAATGATCACATAGGTTTTGAAAAATAATATAAACAGCATTAGATACGTTGAAGTAGACGAACAATAAAACTGATTTCTGTGATCAAGTTCGAGAATAAAAATAACCAGAATTAACCTGGAAAATTGCAAGTGTGGTTTATGGCATCGACATGTAAAAAAATTCATTCAGCCTGTATTCAAGCTAGACAAGGCAATGTTAGGTCAAGTTATAGTTTTGAAGAGTATTTCAGTCTAGAATTCCATCGATATCTCATCGTTTGTGAATTCTTCCACATCAAGTTTTCTTAAAATCAAGTATTTCAAAACTCTTAGACATCGAGCAACCAAATTGTGAGGTTCATTCTTCCATACAACCTCACCACTGGGTAGCTGTGTCACGTTCGATGTTGTATCGTTGTTGAACTCCTAAATTGAAGTCCATCCGTCAACTCTGCAACTTCGGAAACATCCAAACTCGATTAGCCACTATACGTATTCGCTCCGCTACTAAAAGTTCCTCAGAAACGATAGTTCAGACGTTCAGATGCATCTACTGCGACGCGGAATTAGAGCGATGTCAGCGACAGCAATTAGAGGAACTTTGTTAGGGAGAATGGAGTTCGAAGAGCGTGTCGATTTAATAAGAGTGGCAAGGTTCAAAATTGCCTATAGGTAAATTCACGTGACAAGAAATGTCAGGTATCTTTATATGGAAATATATATGAACAACCTATATAAATGAACTGCCAACTGTTCTGAAGAGCCTTCACAATAATTTAATAGAACTACCCTATCAAAGTCCGTGATATGTCTGGATTGTTTTTTCAGGTGGATTTTTCTGCCCCAAATGGAGCGAAGAATGGGTGGTACTTTACGAAGATTCGACGTTGGCTTGGTACTCGGACAAAGGGCTAGGTAGGCCGAAAGGGTACGTCAGAATCAGCGAGGCCCCAGAGCTGCTGGCAGTTGGAGAATGGACGAGACAAGTACCTAGGAGACCAAAGTTCCCACATTTCTGCAACATTGGTGAGCAATCCTATTAAGCAATCCAATGGCCTGTCAAACCATGCACTGGTGGGCACAAAATGGAATCATTCATGTTTCATGGATCGTTTTTATACGCAAATTCCTATTGGTATCAGAAGTACGAGTCATATAATCAAATGAAATCACAAACAGTGAGAATTCAATTGTTCTATATGGTGCCAACCAGAAGCCATATTGATTCTCACCTGATAGAGTAAGAGCCTAGGGCTCCCAGACTTAACTTATTTTCTGAAGTACAAAATGAGGGGCCTGGAGTAGTGTTTATATGTACAGTGATTGCCAGCATACAAGCTAAGTTGGTTAGACGGCCATTTCACAGATACCAGGGTGGAGAGGTAGAAATAAATTGGGCTAATTAAATATGAATTCTAATGATTGAAAAAAATATTGTAGCTTCTACTTATATTCTAACACCTGATTTTCATATATGTTATTCAGATTACAATTTTGAACATGAAATTTTCCAGCCAAAAACTTTCCACCGGCCATGAGTCTTGCCAGACCCTTTGAAGTTTTAAAAAAAACGATCGTGATCATCACGAAACAATCGATGAAACTGTTATATTCTAAGAACATTCTAAATCATAAATTGAAGATCGAGAAATGAAGATAACTGAAATCAACTGGTCGAAAAGGGTTGAGGATATTGTCTGTGAAGACATTTTTCTAGAGAAAATGTGGTATAGCTATCAATATCTTGCATGCATGAGTGAAGGATATTTTCTTCTCGCTATGTCGAAATTTTTCTAGAAGAAATGTAATCAATCTATCCATATCTATGTCTTATACATTCAAATATATCCTTAGATTCTTTCCGATCAGTTCATGAGGAAGAACCGGACAGGAGCTGTCAGTCAGTAAGTTATCAGTCAGTATCAGAGAGAATCTCGTATACCGCGTGTTGTAAATCGTTTTAGATAAATAGTAGTGATGAGTTTGTAATGAATTGGTGTTCCTGCAAGTTGAATCAATCCGTTCGAAATAAATAGTGTCAGTGTTCACTTCTGCACACGAATAATACCGAAACAATATAATTAAATCAGTCACCTCAATAACTTTCACTATGTAAATGAATATAAGTGATGTTCAATTTTTTTGGGCTTAAAAGCGTCTGGCAGTGTTGAACATCATTTCGTAAAAATATCTTATGGAACATATATAAAAGTCGATCATTAGAATTTGAGTAGGGTAAGCCCTATTTTTTAACCTAAAGCACCATGGTATTTGTGAATTGGCCGTCTAAGCAACTTAGCTTATGTGCTGGCATTCACTGTACCGTCATCTTCAGAAAACATGTCGCACATGGACGATGAAGACAACTATACATATAAGCATTACTTGAAGTCCCACGTTTTGTTCTTAAAAAAAAAGTTATGTCTGGGGGCCTTGGGCTCTTGGACTATGAATTGGATTGGCTAGTTGTATTCAGTAAGGTTCTAGATAGGTATTCTGAGATCCAAATTACGTTCCAGTATGTTCCGAATTATTAATTGAACGAATGACATTACGTCAACAATATTATTACATGTTCGTTATCCACCTATCCACCATCGATACATTATGTCACCACCATACATAACAAAATCGAACATTGAAAATATTAGTTGGTTATCATGATATTGAAATGTCATATGTATCCTAGATTTTAGGGATTTCAATTTCAAGAGGTGGGGGAATAGTAATCTCAGTGTCATCATTATTGTTTCACAGGTCAGTTGCTTGCTATTGGTAGTAGAGCCATGCGAGATGTGCACTGGCTAATGGCTCAATCACCGGCGGAAATCAAGTGAGTAGCGATGATTTTGCTTTCGTTCATGAAGGAAATATAATATTATGTAATACGGACGCGTTTTTGTGAACGAAACTGAGGCTGATTTCACATGCATCCGTTCTCACGGATTTACGTTTTTACGTACACAAGTTTGGGTTCCTTCTGGATGGAATGGTTCCGTGAGCTCCGTCGTTATCCGTGTTTTGCGCAAATATCTCTAATAAATAAAACAATATGGGAGCAGAAAATAATAAGGAGAAGTCAAGAATTCTTATATATTCGATTTATTATGGAGAGATACAGTATACAGTACGAAATGTCGTAGATTTTGGACCTATCTTCACAGACAATTCTTGAAGATTTCATGACGTAAGTGAATATCTGGCTATAGGAATGGAGGAAAACGGCAATGAAAACTTCTTCAATTATCTCAGAATGTCGCCTGATATGTTTTATCTATTCCTCGGAATCTTGGAGACTAAACTTGAAAAACAACCAAGAACCAGATTAGAAATTATGCTTCGTTATCAGGCATCTGGTGACAGTATGACTTCTATTTCATATCTTTCTCGTGTTGGGATTTCTAGAGTTTCAGAAATTCTAGAGTTTCATAAATTGTAGAGTTTCAGAAATTATTCATGAAAACTCTTGGGAGAGAGTCTTGGTCTTGGTCTTGATCTTGGGAATATTTATTAAGTCTTGGTCTTGGTATTGGTCTTGTATCATGTGACAATATTCCAGGGTATTTATGAAATCTAGTCAGTTAAAGCAGTTAATAAGATATTTATTCACAATAAGAATCTGAAAATACAAATATGGAAATCCAAAAATATATCGGAGGCCATACCACAGGCACTTCTAGAGGCTTTACAACTCACCTGAGCAAGTAGCAATTATCTTATCGAGAGTTATCACGTAAGGATATCCAAAACCAGAAATTCTCTGATTCAAATTGTTCACAAATTGATTTCGTACTTCATTTATTATTTATCCATCACCCTGACAATATCGCGAACATTCCCAGGTGATGCGATCTGCTTTGCTTCAATCAAGACAAAGACAAGACCAAGACTGGACCCTTGGTGTCGCGAAGCCCTACCCCTACTGCCCTACTGATCCGCTAGAGATCAGGACTTTCAGTATGTTGTTCATGGCACTTCTATTCACCACGATACCAAAATCTGCGACTATTTTTCGTTCATTTACTGAACTACCTGTCTCATGGAAAACGAGTTCGATCGCTCTACGTAAAATATGGAATACTTATCATAACGAATTTCCATTAGCCCCGAAAAGAGCAATAAAAACGTTTGAAATGACTGTAGCACTCGGGAAATTTCCGTCAATATTCTCCACGTAGATCCACATTTTCAGTAAACAAGCGTCTCGTTCGTTCGTTATCTATAAATTTTCCATTTTTGCCGCTTTGCGAGAAACGATGCGTGTTCCAGGATATTGGAATTGTCTGGATGAGGTTTCTCACAGGACAATAATGAATGTTCGCAGGATATTGCCTGCGGTCGCGATTCTCGCAGATTCTCTAGGATTTCTATACTAGTATATAACGCCTGATCAGAACGACGGTTCCACAAGTAAACAACATTGAATTTGTCAGAATTCTCTTTGTGAATTTTCCTAAGGATTCGTTCCGTCGACTTTTTTTTATTCGTTCGATTGAAATTTTCTCGAAAATCACAACGGCACCCCCTTTGTTGAATATTTTCCGATGTAACGAATTCGAACAATAGAGGCCTGGAGTTTGACGTAAAGGGTGTGCTAACTGAATGCACCAAAAAAAGTTAACACTGGAAAATAACTCATAAATACTTGAGAATAAATTCACTATGAAACGAGAAAGTTGAAATAACCTTTTTTGACATGGAATCATTTCCTGAGATACCAATGACTCCAAATTTCCCTGATTTTTATATTATCAGGTCTGATTCAAAAATAGGAATATATCCCAATAATCTGTACTATGAATATACGTATGTAACAAGTTTATTTGATTCCAAGCGACTGGATGACAGCAATCAGCAATACGGTAAGTGTTTATTCTTTAGAATCCATGAGAATATGTGAATTTCATCAAAACTTTCTCAGTAGTTTATGATGATCATTAGAAAAGATGTCTTGGTTGACTAAATACAGATTATTTTCATATTGAAATAAAATGTGCATTTTATTCACAGTATTTCCATTCAGAAAAAGTACTATCGAATTTAAGAATCTCATAGAAATGGTTTCCTATAAACCCTTTAGTAGATAGACCATGGGTGTTCTAGATCAATAATAGCAAAATAATTTTGTAGAAATGGCTAATGTGATTGAAATTCGCCAAATTTTGCATGATCACATGTGTGAAGTGTGAGCACTTTGATCTAAATGAAAAAGAATTGAAGTTAATACAGTTTTTCTGTGTGGATAGGCCTTTACATAGGTGCCTGGTGCAGACTAAAAGGAGGATTGCATCTCCGATGAGATTTCAGATTCATTAACATATGTTTGCGACGAACGTCTGAGAATACCTACCGACAAAGTGACGAGCCTGACTGTAGTGGGAGGACTATCTCTATTCAGAAAGTCAGTAGTCGTAGATGAAGTGAATTTTGATACTAAGTTGAAATATGCCTCACAAGTATCTCGTTGACTGAAACTATGGTAACGTGTCACAAATTCCAACCAAACTTGTTACTTGTCATAATACTCCAAGATTTTCAGTGGCCGATGACAATCATGATCATCACCATAATTACTGAGATCGTTGATATGATATGGTAACAATCAGCCCCTTTGATGATATCTTAGAAATAGAATAACAACCGATTAGTAACATTTTATTTTTCTTCCTTAACGTTCTACCTATCCTGAATTATAAAATAGTATATACACCTCGGGACTGAAGTGTTTTTGAATCAGTTCATTTCCTAGGTCTATAATGTACTATTTCAATATTAAATGATTATTCGTTTGCTTTTCGTTAAATATCTGATCAGGATAACGCTTTTGAAATCTCTTCATAGCAAAGAAGGGTCAAAAATTTCACGATACTGGAAGAACCCATTCATAAGGTCCTACAAAGATATTCATGGCCCTCATATTGTTAGTGAAAATTGAAATATTCTGTACGAAACAGTCAAGTAGACAGCTGATATAATAATCTACCACAGTATGCACCCTTTATACTGTGGATCTACGGATGTATATCGTGTGAAGCCAAGAAACCAAGTTGATATTCTCCGCACGTTTATCCGTCTCACATACACGGTCACCTTATCGATTCTCCATTGTTTTGTTGCAGCTGCCCCCTCCCCCACACCTCCCTCTAGACGACAAAAGACTGTCGCTGACGCCTCAGCAGCAGCAGGATATCGTCACCAACAAACGTGAGTATTGCGAGTGAATGGAGTTTTTTATCTAGAAGTGAAATCGAGGTGGAGAAAATTGCTGGTTGAGAGCGAGTAGAACTTGCTCCAGTAAAGATTAACCCCACCCTCTCACTCTCACTCTTGCCAGCCAAAGGGAGCTATCACGATGTAGCCAGGTAGTGTTGTCTGCTGATCAAGTGCGTTTCCATGGATTCCGTGATGATGTCTAAATACGATGATGTCATACGACTATCATGGTTTGAGATCTCTCAGTCATACTTTTTCTTCCGCTGTTGTTGAAATCGTTCATGAACACCACGAAGGACCATTAGTGAACACACCTAAACACACCCCCTTCTGGGTCTCCTCTGACCGAAGCCTTCGATGTCACTCGAGCTTGTTGACCCATTATATCTCACCTCAATCGATTTCGACAAATACCATCACATCAACTGTGAGCACTGTTGCTCGCAGTACCAGTGGTTCGTTCGAAAGACCATTTTCGTTCAGGTTACTAAAGATTTCTCTACCGACCGATGATCTCGTCCATGGAAGAAGCCCAAGAATAATGGGAGAAGAGGTTGGTCCAGCCCTGTGGTGCCCCTTGCACAGGACTAAGGCATTTCACTCTCATTCCCAAAGGTCCTGTTATAGACACCATGTACCCTCGTTCGCCGTTCATTTCTCGCCACGAGTTCTCACAACTTGGATTAGGTTGAAAGAGCCTTGTTAATCAATCAGCGGCTACATAGGCAGTTCTCAAATTGCTTCAGCTTTGCACACAGATGTACACAAAACTGTCACATCTGACTGATCCGAACAAAAATGTCCAAGAAATTCTCCATCTCTGCAACTCAACCGCTGCTTGTCTTCCTTGCACCATGGTGAAGTTGGGCATTGGAGGGAAGAAAAAAAGAAGAATTGGCCAAGAGAGGCCGATAGGAGAGATTGATAACTAGGGAGTAAAGAGGATACCATCCAAAACAAGTTGAAAATTGATGAGTATCCATTCCGAGTAATAATTCGATTCAGATTGGTAATCAAGGTTGACAGTCACTTTCGGTGAACCGAAAATGATATATTATTTCACATAGCGCCTTGGTTCTTATGCTCTTCTGCCTAGTGAAACAAATAACTATCGTGTTATTATGCTATTTCATTGGAAAATCAGATCGAAGCATTTTCACTTCACTAGCTATTATTCAAATTCGATAGGAAATTGAGTGAATTGTTCACTTGCAAATATTTTTCATCACTAGCTATCATTCAGAGACTCTAAGAGGGTGTCTATTTTCCTTCTGAAAATGAAACATCCGCCTGCTAATGTTCTGAGAAAAATAGTTCCATCAGAAGTAATTTCAACAAAAATTAATCATCCTGAATCAATTTGAATTTGATTCAAATCGACAAGCTGGAACTAGAATTATTATCGTCCGATTTAATGAATCTCTCAGCCACGTGTGACTGTGCCACCTGACTAGACGGTTGTCAAGGTAACGCTCCGAAAATTCTATAGGAACAGTCGGGAAAACGAGTGGAAATGATGGAAAAATAATCACCGCGGATTATTCGATTCAAATTATCAATTCTGGGGTTTCAATCAGAAGTGGAGATTGGATGTTTTGACGATTATCGAGAGATTTTCACAATTTTTGATAGTAGTAGTAGTAGTAGTAGTAGAAGTAGTAGTAGTAGTCGTCGTAGTAGTAGTAGCAGTGTTGTAATTTATTGATGCAACGAACACTACAGTGTATAGCATAAGTTATTGAAGAAGGTACAACCTAATTGAAATCTCATAATTTCTCTAGTTGAAATGCATAAATGAAAATCTGACACATGGGTCAAAACATACTAATAAACACTGAGGACAATGCACAGCTGAAGCTCTGTGTCTATTCCTACAACTTATATTACATACACACACAATTATTTAGTCATCGTTTTACGAAACATAGATATACATACTTAGAAATATAATAGAATAAAGAATTAAACATTTTTGGTTTTGCACACACTTTGCAGAGAAATTTTTGCAGCAAACATGTTCAAACTTGCATAGTAAAACGCTTAACATGTCCAGTAAACTCAAGAACCGAATAAAAACAATGTTACAGAAGGATTTTTTTTATTTTCCAATAAAATTGAATTAAGAGTCTTAAATTCTGTTGGTAATATATTATAAAGATCGTGGTCCAAGAATTCATCTGGGAAACAGAAGGCCGGTATTTTGGTAACCTAATGTAACTTGCTTGTCCTGTATTGAAGCTATGTATTTGAGATTGTCTAGAAAACCAACTTGGTTGTTCATGTATTTCTCTCAGAGAATTTTCGATATATATTGACGGAAGCGGTAGTATTCTGAATTTAAAGAAGAGAAGGCGACAGTGTTCTCCAAAACCACAGTTTGTCAAAATTCTCAGAGCTTCCTGTTGTTGTCGAAAAATTTATACAGATTTAAAGGAGTCTCCCCAAATAACAAACGCCATTGAGAGTTTCTGTATTGACGTAGGATTTGAGCTTACGTAGAGTAGGAACAAAGTGCTCGATAGTTTTCGCTTCAGTTGCTCGATATGATGGTTCCAGTTTAGTCTGTCATCAATTATCAAACCCAGCAGCTTAACGCATTTGTTATCGAGTACAGAAGAGTTTGTCGAAAAGGTTATACTTTGGGTCTCATAATCATTTAGCTGTAATCTGTTTACTTGGTACCAGTGCTTTGCTTTTTCTTGAATATCTAGCCACAGAGTTTATATTTGTACAAGGTCGTTTTGAGAACAGATCAACGTTGTATCGTCAGCAGGAAGAGTACACTCACTGGGCAATAAGAATTGATGTAGATCGTTTATATATATATTATCTAAAGTAGAGGGCCAAGTACCGAACCTTGTGGTACTCTATGAAAAATATATTTCATTTCTGATGTAACATTTGTTACTTCTACAACTTGGGAACGATGTTTCAGATATGAATCTATGAGACCTAGGGATACCCCCTTACTCCATAATAATTCAATTTTTCATGAGAGACACTGTCGAAAGGCTTAGACAGGTCGCACAACGACACAGATGTATGAAGGCCTCCCCTCCAAAGCCTCGACAATGTCACTCACAACATTCATCAATGCTCGAGAGCTCGAGATGTTGAACAGTCTTTTCGAAAACCATGTTGTGATTCATAGAAAAAGCCATTTAATTCGAAGTAATTACTTCGGCTAATTAGCCAGTCTTTTCTTAATAAATTTCTCGAGAATTTTGGAAAGAATTTACGCATGAGAATCATTGTCTTGCTAACGATGTGCACCGAATATTTCTTGAACTTCTTTATTCAATATTTCCACAATAGTAAATTTGAGTATGAAATACAAATATACTTTCATTAAAATCATCTGTACGATGACGATTCAATATAACATCATCTGGTTGATAAATTGAAAATAGTTGACTGTATTTTCACAACATTTCGTATCTGCATGTTCTCTATATGACACATGATGAAATCAGTTGATGCAGACTGAAGCTTCCTACTACTTTCATCCAATTGTTTCCATTGTTATACTCTGAAATATGTAACAATAGCTCATTCGTTATACATACAAACCAGTTTCGGATTCCCGTGTTATTTGTTGCTCTTGTTATCCCATTAGAGATTTAATCAAAAAGTTCTGTATGAGAGTATATTATCAACACCAAACATTGTGGGATGAATTTATAATGTTGGACGCTTCCACTCTCGGTAAAAGCTAGCATTTCCACTATTCAACAGAGAAACTGATTTCCTGTGAGACTGACTCTGTTTATGTGAATATTTTTCTCCTCTGAGAATATCAAACATATCGTGATGAAAATATAATATCGAATGATTATTTCATAAGTAAAGATCTTGAATTCTACTGATTCCAACATTTACAAACAAAATCCGTATATGTGTGGAATAATTCTGTTTTGTTCAAGGTCAAACACTTTAATATCGAAAGTTGGTTTTCTCGATGGGTATAAACAGAAACATATATTGATGTATTTAGGGAAATTTACCTAAAATGAAGTTTCATGCGGAAATATGAATATGGACACAAAATATACAAAGCAACTGAGGAAGTGACGAAACGATGATGTGAAATATTCATACTGCCGATAGGAGTACACCAGTGCTGAATGAAGCCTTCAAAAATGTCGAAAATTGTAATTAAAATTATAGTAGGATGTAACCCATTGAAGAAAATATATAAAATATGGGCGATCTGTGGCCAGGAAGGGGATGAGGGTAAGCTTATAAGGGTAAACAACGGATTTTCCTGATTTTCAGTAAAACTAGTCCTATGGAAAAATGTTGAAAAGCAGATTTGTAGGTTATAAAAAGATCAATTACTTTTGTCCAAACACTTATTTCACATAACCATAAAATTTATGTGAACTATTCAAACAACCATGTTTCTGGTTTTCATTTTCATCTTTTACAAACAATTATTCTGCTTCACTGATTCATTTCACGAAAACACTGTATTTTTTTTATATCATCTCACTTCATCTTGACATAATATCGAGAATGCACCCAAATTTTCAATCAAAAATTCTCGCGGTGAAATATCTGCTTTTTCAAAACAGTCGAAGGACTTTTTTTTGCTGAAATCGCTGCTTTCTGATGATGTGAAAAAAGATAAACATTTCTGTGGTAGATGTTCTCAAAATGCAAAAAAAAACGAAAAAGCGGCACTCACATTTTTTAAATGAAATCCCCTTTGAATCCGTAAGGTAGGGTTATTTGCAACAACTATATTTTTGTATGGCTTTTCGCAATCTCAATGTTTCATGGATCCGATAATATTTTTTTCATCAAAATGGAATCTTACGTTTTTCGAATAATTAGTTACATTTTTGAAGAAGAAGATATTTTGAGGCAAGAAATTTCTATTGAGAATTAGGGTGCTCGTTCAATATTAAGTCAAAATAAGGTATTCTCTACTCAGAAAAATCACAGTGTGTTTGGTACATGAAGAGGTAGGTTTGCACCAAATTTTGTGG